TATGCAAACTGCTGACTCTAGTACTGAATAGGCTGTTCAAAATTCAGTATAACGATAGATGACGAGATTTTTATGTGCACGAGTACATAAATTCCTTGTTTCAACAAAAGAAACAATTGAGAAAAAATCTAGAACAGGTGGATTGTAAACAGAGAGAGAACTTAGTGCAAGCAAGACAGGAAAAAGGACATGAGTCTTATCTAAAGGAACAACTTTCTCAAGGCCCAGCTTCTCTCACCATAAAGGGAAATGTGGAAAATATTTAATTCATGAAGGTTTTGGTAGATACAGCAAGGAAAAAAAAAAAGATAAATAATAGGCACACCAAGAAACATTGAGACACACAACAACCACTTTTTTTCCCTAGCTTTTGCACTGGATCCTTTTTATTAGATGCAGTCTACAACATGAACTTAAAGATATTTAAGATATTCTGCCAAACAACCTTTAAACATCTCTCCCACACTTTTGCATTTTTTTTGTCCTTAAAAAAAATGAAAGCTTTCAAAAGCTGTGTTGCAATTTTTCACCATGTATTTATCACCATCACTAGAACTCTGGAATTATAAACTAGAATTTGATAACTAAGACATTGCTTCGGTAATTACCAGATTACAGGAACATCCTTGGTAGTATTCAGGCAGATATGCCAGAGTTAATTGTGGCATTCAAGTGTTTGAAATAATGCACTTTAATGTTCACAAGGAAGAACCAAGGCATTGTTTCTAAGGCTGTCTTCTCATTTTGTGTTGATTGCAACAAAAAGAACTCTTTGCCAACATTCAGTATTCAGTATCCCCTCAGATTTCTAAGTGTTTTAAATGGACCCCACACTGTCACCACCCAACCTACCATTATAATAGGCATGAGAGATGAATTATGGTTTCAAAAGCTGAGTAAATGTAACCATAATCAGAAGTAACAGCAAAAATCATGCAGACCATATTAAAATATTCACACTTCTTGATCTAATCATACAACTGGTATTCATGATTCTGCACCTTGCTATCAAGAGGAAATGGGCACTCACAGCCCAGAAAACCAACCTAGTCAGAGCAGTATGGCCAGGAGGTGATTCTGCCCCTCTATTCTGCCCTTGAGTCCCCACTCGGACTTACAGTACAGGAAGGATGAAGACCTGTTGGAGCGAGACTAGAGGAAAGCCACCAAGGTTATCAGAGGGCTGGAGTACCTCTCCTGTGAAGTCAGGCTAAGAGTTGAGGTTGTTCAGCCTGGATAAGGGAAGGCTCTGGGGAGACCTCAGTATGGTCTTCCAGTACCTGAAGGGGTCTTATAAGAGAGCTGGAGAGGGACTTTTCCCAAGAACATACAGTAAGAACATACAGTGACTGGACAAGGGGGACTGTCTTCAAACTGAAAGAGGGCAGGTTTAGATTAGATATTAGGAAGAAATCGTTTACTGGGGGGTGGGGAGGGGGGGGTGAGGCACTGGCACAGGTTGCCCAGAGAAGCTGAGGATTCCCCATCCCTGGAAGTGTTCAAGGCCAGGTTGGATGGAGCTTTGGTCTAGAGCAAGGTGTCTCTGTCAATGGCAGGGTTGGAACTAGGTGCTCTCTAAGGTCCTTCCAACCCAAACCATTTTATGATTCTGTGGTTCAATACTGTCAGTAAAATTCAATTACTAGGAACTCTGATGTTATGACTATGACATATTACTAAATATATGATTTAAAACAAACAATCTTACCTGGCTCTAGTCACCTACACTCAAAAAACCAAGATCTCTCAAAACAACCAAACATGCAGTATCTTCCAGCAAGGATCAAAGAAATTTTTTTACATTTAAGACCACACAGTTGTTTAGGTGTCTCCAGGGAATGATGACCTCTCCTTTTGTCTTAGAGGTCAGCAGTCAAAACTGTCTTGTCTCAGCAATGAGTGAATGCTGTTACCTTCATGAAAGTATTCAGTGCTTTATATAATGTATTATAAAGTTGTGTTGCATTCTAAGCTTTTTATGTCAAAATTTTATTGCAGTATATGGAGTGCATTGTATATGGATAATGTTAGCACATTTTAAAAAAATTGAATACTTTTAGATATGTCCTACATAAAAGAAGAAATAGCAAACTCAGAAAAACGAGCATGGGATGTTTTTGAAGAAAGATGGTTTTAAAACGAAAGAATCTGGAGAGTAAAAGTGTGACTGTCCAATGCAATAACAAAACATACTAGGATTCTAGAACTGGTTGAAAACTACACAAAAAAAAAGTACAAGGAAGTTATTTATTGTAATAGAGAAGTGACATCAGATTCTCATCTGTGTTTATAATAGTACCAGGTTTTCTTTTCTGCAAGGTTGTGCTCCAGGGAAGATTACTGTTATCTATGAAATTCTACCAGTAATCTTTCATTATCATTCAAAAAGTTAACTTTGCATTGGAGAAAGGATTTTTGTTTTGATTTAAGCCTTATTTGCATACTGATTGCTAGCCAGGTTTTATATAAACATGGCTGGTTTGGATATGTCTACACTGTCTTCCAGATACAGACCCAAACATGCACTCAAGTCGAAGCTCATTCATGCCAGAAGTCCAAGGACTTTGGGCAAAATTTGACCATTGCTGATAGGGCAAGCAATCATACACCACTGTTTAGTATGATCCCAAGCACATTCCTGCCTGCTTTCTGATCAGCGTCTACTGACAGTAAAATTGCTATCTCAGAGATAACTGTGAAAAACAGTGTATGTTTTCAATAAGCCATTTTTTTTTGTGCCTGTAGTCCATACTCTGATAGTATTCTACAGACAGCATTTTCCCCTTTAGGTCTATGAAGGAAGAATAGAGATAAAGAAAAAAAATCCACTGTATACACTTAGCATTAGGGAGATGATGTTCACATATCCTATCTCATTTTTTCCAATAAGAACTACAACTGATGCATGTATTTTTCCATTCAGTTAATATTCATATGCACATACATAAAAAACGGCAAAAGATATTGCAGACAGGTAACACCAAGAGAGCAAGAAATAAATGTGCAGTTAATAAAGATTCTCTAGCTTCTGTTGTAAGAGTGAAAAAGTAGCAAACACTGCACAAAGGTCTTATCTGAATAAGAGACATAAAAGAGCTACTTGATAGCCCTGCTGTTCTCAGTAGAAATCTTCTGGAAAAATGCTTGCTCAGTTCCCAGAGAAATTCAGTCCTTTTGTGAGAGATCTCACTTTTGTACTTTGCTTCCTTTTTTTAAAAGACCAGAAGTTTAATTTTTTTGAACTACAGAGAATGCCTGTTTAGGGCTAAATGTGGACAGTCATACTGTGAATCAGATAAGCTGCATACTTGGCAGAAAAAGAATTGCAAAGTGTGATGCTTTCAGCTTCAGTTGACTTCAAGTTGTCATTACAAGATCCTGTCTCTTTTGAAATACTTCTCTTCTGAAAATCTCCAAGTGTGGATTTCTTGCGTGTTGCATAATGTTAGGCAGTATATGTTTTAGGAAAATATAGATAATAAAAATGCACGAAAAGTACATTAAAAAAAAATAATTGTGAAATAAGGTAATTGAAAGGTCATGTCATTGTCTAACCCCAGCCAGGAACTCAGCTCACTCATTTCCCCCCACGGCAGAAGGGGAGAGTGAATCAGAGGAGCAAAAGTGAGAAAACTCATGGCTCAAGATAAAGACAGTTTAATAGGGAAAGCAAAAGCCACACATACAAGCAAAGCAAAACAAGGTTTTATTCACCACTTTCCATTGGCAAGCAGGTGTTCAGCCATTCCTAGGACAGGAGGGCTCCATTGTGCATAATGTTTACTTGGTTAGACAAATGCCATCACTCCCCATTCCTCCTTCTTCCCCAGCTTAGATGCTCAGCATTATGCCATATGGGATGGAATATCCCTGTGGTCAGTTGCAGTCAGCAGTCCTGCCTGTGTCCCCTCCCTTCTTGTGCAACTCCCAGCCTCCTCACTGGTTGGGTGGGGTGAGATGCGGAAAAGGCCTTAACACTGTGTAAACACTGCTCAGCAGTAACTACAACATCCCTGTATTATCAACACAGTTTTCAGCAAATACGAAAGACAGGCTACTTTGAAGAAAATTAGCTTTATCCCAGTCAAAACCTGCACAAGTCATCACTCAGTCTGTTAGTGAGATAAAATTAAGTGTTGTATGGACCATATTATATTCCTTGTTACAATCCCATCTAGAGATGCACTTTCCTTGCAAGGTTCTGTGTTTCTACAGTAATAACACCAATACTGCTTCTACCCAAGACATCACAAAGCATGCTTTAAAGGTCTGTTAAATAGCACAACGGTTTTCATGGGTAATGAATGGGCAATTTTTTTCCTACTAGGAATGAAAGATGCAATTCATGGAGTTTCAGTGGGCAGAGAAACTTCTGCAGCACACAACAGCTGGAAAAATTAGTGCACTGTCATGAGAACTGCCTAAGGACTGTTTTCTCTTTCACTGCTCAAGGATGAAGCTGCAGAGAAGCTATACAAATACTGATGAATTATGCTGTACTGATACACTGGGATGTATTAGATGATACAGAAGGCTTGTCAATGCCCACATAGAATCATAGAATGGGTTGGGTTGTAAGAGACCTGTAAAAGGACATCTAGTCCAAAACCCCTTATCAAGATTAAATAAACAGTGACTAACAAAGGTGTGTGAAAAGAAAATCATGTATTTTCTAACCACTCTAGTCAGAGATTTCTAACAGTGCCTTCTGCAACACAGATTTATTCTCTTATTTTCCTACTACTAAGTTCAATTAACTTACTGCATGGAATTCATGGTCTCTGTGTGAAGTAAAAACTATTTAATGATTACTTTAAAAAATGTAATTAACACATGCACTGCTCCTGGCTTGATGCATTTTAATTGTGAAGCTGAGAGAAGAAAAAGCCTCGATGCAATTTAGAATTAATAAGCTTTGTTTTTATAACTTTATAAGCAGCTTGAAACAATTTCATGAAACCTTCAAGTATGTTTAAAAGAAGTACGTACCAATAAGAAACTGTACTTGAAATTTTATTTCCAGTTTGAAAATTCCAGGACAGTTCAAATGTAGGAGTGAGCACACCACTTTTACAGCAAAGCTAGACAGTATTTATCTGTAAACCTAGAAAAAGACACATCTGTAAGGAGCTTTGGCTTGAAAAAAAGTGGTTTTCCAGTTGATACACTAGCTGTAGATTCAGGAAATCTGTTTATCAAGCCCTAGAGATCTAAAAACAATCAAAAACCTTGCAGAAGTCCTAGAGAATAATGAAAGTGTTGAACAGCAGTTTTTTAGGTCACTCATACTTGGAATCTAATTTCCAACATAATGCCAATGTGTAAAAGTGCTCAAACATTTGTTTGCATCAAAATGACTGTGTTCACACATCTGTCTGCAGTCTCCCACACTTACCTGCAATCTGCACTGTGTGCTAGAGACTGCAACTCAAATTCTTCCCAAGCCAAGTCCAAATATGCTGTCTGTACAAAGGGCATGGTTTGCTCTCTTTTGAAAGAAAGAGTAATAAAGGTCAGCCTGGGAATGCCTATGATTTCTTCAGTGCACCCCAAGTAGCCTTTTCTAACTGCTCAGCTTGATTCTGAGAATCAAAAAGAATCTGGCACAGGGCAGAAAAAGCTAGAGAAGAACAGTCAACTGTAAACCTTTTCCTGGGTTATCTCAGGTGAGCTACTTTGTGTCTCACTGGACTTAACACTACCCACAGGGCTGATGTAAGGACAAACACATTAAATGTTGTCAAGCATGGGAATAGGGTCCACATGGAGAGATCTCATTTCCCTGTGACAGACTTGTTGCAAACACTATGACTGTGTGTCTAGTCTGAGGAATATAAGTAAACTTAATAAGAATGACCCAACATTTTCACAGTAGACTGTTTTGCATTTTTATCTGACACCTAATTTTCCATTAAATAATTATGCAACCCTTAGCAGTAGGTTTTCTTAAGTCTTACCACTGTCAGGTGTAATTTATTATTCTTCTTATCAGAGTTATTTAAAAACCAAACAAAATTATTTTTTTCTTCTAAAAAAACTATCTTAGCGGTACTAATTCTAATTGTGGCTGAATTAATAAAAATCCAAGAATTACAACAAACTAATTCTTACACTAGAAATTGAAATTCTACAGTGCATTTTGCAGATGGTTCCAGTAACTCTCACAACCAGAAGAACGTAAAACATGCTACAGGGGAAGCTGAACAATAAAGAACAAAAAGATGCTTTATTTTTTTTCCTGGCATTTGTGAGGTTTACAAAACCTGAAATAAATTTCATAGATCAGCCAGGATAAGTTGATCTCAGTTATTGTTAAAAAAATTTTACATTACATCTATAGATCTTTCACTACTGATTGTGCACATTCTTCTCTTCATGAACAATTTTTTTATTAATTGTTTTATTGCAAGGTAAAACTTAATTAGGATATGTTATCTTTGCATAATCCTCCCACAGTTTACTGAGCACAGAAGTATTTGGAAATATATTAACAATTGCTGAATCAGACCTAAAATTAAAAACTAGTTAGGACTGTTCTTTTTCACTGTGAAACTCACATTCTACACACTAATATATTTTAGGCTACTTTAACTTAAAAATATATGTGTTTTGTCTCTGGAAATATTGTCCAAGTTGTAATATAATGGAAACATGTTGCAGAGCAAATCTGCTGTTAGAAAGTCACAACCAGAAGTTCATCTTTGAACTCTTCTGGTGTGACATAAGCTCAGCTGAAAAAGCCATTTTAACTGTATTATTACCAGTGTCAAATAAAATTTATGTTTTAATAGGACTAAAATGAGATGACTGTCCCACAGCCCAACAACTTCTGTCTCACAGATCCCATTGGATACTTCTAATGAAGTAGTTTACAGCTCTGAATGAAAATTATTCCTATGCAGAAGTAAAGCATGTATGTTGCTTTAGGCATCAGAGAAACTGTAGGATTATGATGCATATTCAGCCTGAAAAAGCAAACGAGGGAAAACAAATAAGTATTCCACAAATTTTTTATATGCAAAGCCTTATAATCATCCTTATTGTAGCAGACAAGTAATTTCCTTTATTAGAGTTCTGATAGCTTTCCTTCCTTTGTCTGAACTCTGCTGCCTGATGTTTCCACTTCTCCGAACAAAATATTTGCAGACTGGAAAACAGCTCTTCCATACACAGAGAACTAAAAATGTTTGCAGACTGTTTTGTGTTAAAATAGTGTTTTCCTTTACACATGAAGAGAAATATCTAAGACCACCTCTCTCTGGACCAACATCCTTTTTTTAAATTAAAGTAGTAAGCCGTTCAGTTCTGAGTATGCATCATTTCAGAGAGTATTTAAATAGTTCTGTATCTGTTAAATAAACATTGCATTTGAATTATCACTTTGGTAAACCTTGAAATTGAATTTTCTCTTCAGAAAATTTCTTCAGGAATTTTGTCTTCTCTATAGGAAGAGTATGGTACAATAAACATGGATATATTCCTGTAGTATGGAGATTCCAGGATACATTTGGTTGTGCTGTCTTAGATGGTATGGTTCTTCCAACATGTATATGGATTGTTAAATTTTAGGAGTGAATACTCTCATTCAAAATCTCTACTGTTAGGTGCTCCCAATGCACATGGAGTGAGGTCTCTCCCTCTGCACTAATGAGGACAGGAACATATTTTACCTGCATTCTGCAAAGTTTTAATGTGATCAAAGTTCCTCTCAGTTGTGCAGTTTTGGCTGATGACTCTGCAGTCAGTAAAAGTGCTGAAGATTGTCTCATGGCTTTTGCAATCCTTTTTCTTCATACGTCTGCTCCCTCACTGGTGGCAGAAGTCCTGTCATCAGAAAAAAAACCTCTTAGCTTTTATTTAAGAGACAAAAGAATTAAATAGCAAAAGATTAATAAAAACTGTTTAAAATCTCACGATTTTGGAATTACAAATAATGCTTTTAGTTACATAGCTTCCCCCCTTTCTTTCATTGAACCCCATTTTTTTCTTTCAAAAATAATACATATAGGAAAAACAGTGATGAAAGTAAAAGGATGCTGTCAGAGTTTCTAAAGTTTACTGAAACCGCCTCATAAACAAATGGCATGGTGTTTAACTTGAATGACCTCTCTCCACCAGGAATATAATCAATAAGGCTTAGGCCACTTTACTTGTTACTTATTTTATGCTGCCTTATCTTCAGGTCTTATCTTCAAAACTACTAACATATTTCATATTTCCAAATTAAAAAAAAATTTTTGGAGAAAATATATTTCTGTCAACTATGGGGGGGGGGGGGAGGGGAACCCCAAAAAACAAACAAACAAACAAAAATCCAAACCTACAAAACCCCACAGCCCAGGAAACCCATAAAAAAGGTAATATGGATAAGACAAAGTCTACACTCTGCCACCATACCCACAAAAAATGCAGAAAAGCATTCACACATTAATTACTCCAAGAAGCCCAATTTCAATGACATAAGCAAGGCCTGGTTCACCAGACAACTTAGTGCTCCTGCTTATAGCTGATCATTGAGCAGGCACTGCAGCAGAATTGAGTATACCATCTTATATAGTTCACTGTATAAAAGGGTTCTTATGATTTTTTTATTGTTGCCACAGAAGAGAAGCTATTTTCAAAAGTTTGAAAGGAAAATGAAGAATTCATAAAAAAGACAGACTTATCAAAGGTGATCTTTTTGCTGATATTAAAGCAGTAGGTAAGACTGCATGCCTTCAGCATAATTACAATTAGACCAATTGTTCTCAAATTGTATTCAGATTTAGAGTAATTGTTTTCAAATTGTATTCAAATCAGAGCCTGGCTTATTTTTTGCAGCTACCTTATTGTAATGAAAGATACTGCCTCCCTCGAAGTCTGGTCCTGTTTGAGACATTTAAAATATCTTCTGCATATTTTGAAGCAACAGCTTGCAAAGCAAACCTTGTGATGAGATGGTACGCATTCTTATCATGCTGAACTTTATTTTTACGCTTAACAGATCATAGACAATTTTTTAGTTGTCTGCAGGTAAGTTTTCACTTTAAATTGTATTTTTAACAAAAGACTGGTTTTTTACATTATATTTTTCATTTTCAAAATGTCATTTTTGTTCAGACATCAGAAAGCAGAGGCTGGTGGCAGAAAGAACTCTGTCCAAAAAATCTTGCTTGGCTTAATTTTTGGATGCCAGTTCCTTATGATGTTGTGTTTGCCATGTGAACAAAGCCTTTTCTGAGCAGAGTCATACTGCATAATCTGCAAACCTGCACAGTAACAGTTTATGATTTTATATGATCAATATCAACAAGCTCAGTAATTCATAGTAGCAGCAAGCTAAGATCTTCAAAATATATCTTCCTAAAGCATTATAGCCCCAGTTTTTGTTTCGTATACAACATTAAACATTTGATAAATGGCAGAATTCTCAATAGAGATTATATGATTAATCTTGCAAAATGCCTTTGAGAAGGTAGCAGGAGATACTTGGATTTACAGCCACTCAGCAGGATGCAGACTCAGTGCAGAGTAACTAATTGCAGTGTATGAGGATTGCATAATCTGGCCTGTAGTTTTAAATCCAGCCAAGAGGTCCACTTAGTTAAATCCTTTAAGGACAAGCAAAAAATAAATGTTTGGAGAAGAAAATAAAATTCTGGTTTGTAGTCTTCCACAGGTATTTAGTATAGTTCCTTGGCTTTCAGAAACATATGCATTCTACATTGGGTTTTTAAATTTTATTATAATCTGTTACCGCAGACTGGGGAACCCATGGAGGTGTTGCATAACATCTCTTGTGGCACATCTGTTTGATAGTGGTCCACAGATTAGTACCACGTTATCTCCTGGCCTTGCAAAATTACCTCCTGGACACCTTGCAAGACTTATTTCTGAAGTAATTCTAAATTGTGACTCCTATTTACCACTATTTGTTTTCCTACTTTTACAATTAAAAATTTCATATCCATAAAAAAAGTCTCCTCATTAAAGTCCTTTAATGTTGGAAAAATCTACCTGGAACCTAGCAAGTCTTGATGATTCAGCTTCAGATATTGAAAGTTGTTAAACCCCATCCATGAAATGTCTCTAAACTTCCACCTCAAAAGGTTTTCAGGCTCTTTTGACTGTTTGCTTCTTTTTCTCAGTTCTTCTCACATACATTTAATTACCTTTTCAGAATTTGAGTGGCTTTTATAAAAAGTAAACCTCCAGACAAGAAACTGCTGGATTGTGTATGTCCTTTGGTTATTTTATTGGTTTAGTTATTAACGGAAATAAATGAATACTAAAGACTAAGCTTTGAGAACACAAAACTTTGTTGTTAGTGAAGAGCAGCTGTAAAAGTACAAACTACCATCCAGATTTTTCTTCTGTATATCACATCAGCTTTCAGAGTTTCATTTACTTTCGTTTTGTTATGAAAAAATTTGGCAGAGACCTTCTAGCTGAATAAACCAGCAATTTCCCAGTATCAGAGGCTTTATTAAACATAAGTTTTCTTATAAGCCAGAGTATGGTTCAATAGATGAGTCCTTGTTCCAAAACAACTGTCACAACTACCAAGTAATTACCTTGTGAGAATAAGTCAAAGTTTTTCTATGGAAGTGAGAGAAAAGAATTAGCTCAAGAGAGAAGAGGAAAATATGCTGGATGTTAATAAGTAAAGCAGATTAGTCTTAGTATGTACAATCTAAATAGAAATACTTTTCCTGAAAATTTCCTGTTTCCAAACGCAAAAAAATATGACAGCTAATTTTTCTTTTTTTTAATATCCCCAGTATTCTACTTTACCATTATTATCACTAACTTTATAATTTCTGAAATCTCTCACTTTTAATGATCTACCAAATCCATCCAGAGTACTTCGGGAATAATCTAATACTAGCACATTATCATGGTATGGCAAACTCTGGAGCACTGAAACCCTTAAAGGGCTGCTTGGTTTGCTTGACTGGTTCCTCTAAATTCTGCTTCCTCTTTGCCTTTCTCCCTTCCATTGCGTTGTGGCTTCTGTATCTTGTACTATGAGTATAGAAAAAAACAGCTTCCTCAGGAGTAGTTTAATAATTGTTTCCCTCCAATTCAGCATTAAGTGTGGGATATACTATTAGCAGATAAGAAGCCCTGAAGAGTTGAGATGTTATTCTGCGAAGGTATTCATCATATCTTCAGATTGCTCACCAAAGATAACTCAGGAAGAAGGATAAAAGCCAGTCCTATAGAGGACATGACATCAAATCATTAAAAACAAATTGTCTCCATCAGAACCTCTACAGTTTCCACTGAGCAAGAACTGATAAAACTACAGCTAAAGTACTAGACTGGACTGCCCTAGCCACTCACTAACCAGTCCATGTGGATTCTAGGTGGACAAAAACTCTCTCACCAAGAGGTGCTGCACACCAAACCGCTAAATCAGGTAAATCTAAGGTTTTCTTCCCACCCATTTCAGGGAGAGCAAATTGGAACTACAAATCAGTCCCTTCCTATCTAAAGGCAGTTGACAATTTCTCCTCTCCCTCTCCTCCCCTCCTCCCCTCTCTCCCTTCCTCTTTCTCCCCTCCCCCTCCCCTTCCCTTCCCCTCTTCTTCCCCCTCCCTGAGAGAAATCTCTTCAGACCTAACTGGTTCAAATAAAACAGTTTTCAAGTGCCAGCCACCTTTTTTTCCCATTAAAAACTGAAGATATCTACCATTCCTAAAAAATTTATCTGAATTGGATTCTTTCTCTGAATCCTATCATTCTGTGCAATTTTAGCAGGCTGGAAGATTAACAAAATGCTGGAGGTTCAATCTCTCCTTACAGCACATTGCATCCTGAGTCCTCCTGTAACATACAGCAAGGGTTTACCAAAGCAATCCTGTTCCTAGTCTTTTGCTGTTAGTTGTATAAACTGGGAGTTTTTATGAATGAAAATTTTATTCTGAAAGACATTGTACTGGCATTGAAGGATATGGAACACAGCATGAACACGTACAAGCCTGGAAAATCAACACATGGGGCATTTGTTCTACATAAACTCCTATAGCTCTGCCAACATCAGAGCTAAGATGATGTAAAGGCTTATTTGCAGTGACCTTTTTGCATCATTGATATAAAGCTTCTACACAGTTCAACCTTTGCATTACTGAAGTAACCCTTTTCTTGACAAGAAGGAAGAAGCAGTAATTATCGCAAAGTTTCTCTTTTGGAGAATGCCACTTTGCCAGATTTCACATTGCACAATCAGAATTCAGTTATTTACCAAGGAACAATCAGAAATGCATGTATACACATATCTGAGTGGGTTTACCATGTAACTACATATAAATACAAAAGAGAGTAAGCAATTGCACCCAGCCATAATCAAAGGCCTCAGAAGGTTTTGCTAGAAATGCTGCTCCCTGGGCACTTTTCTACAAGCTGAGGGATTCAGAAAGACAGATGTGAAAAAGCCGCAACTCCCATACAGTATAACCCAGCTGCCGTGCAGCCACTGACCCTCGAAGCCGGGCTGTCCAGAAGATCACCAGCCAAAGGGGAGGGACAAGCTGGCTCTGCCCCAGGCAACCTTCTCCAGCCAAGCCGTACCAGCGCCGGCTGCCCCCGAGCACCGCTCCACCCACGGTGGTCCCGCATCCGCGGCCCTTGGGGACAAAAACAAGACCTGCCACAGCCGCCCTACCTGCCCCGTAACCCTCCCGCCGACCCCGGGGGGGTCTCCCAGGAGGCTCAGGGCAGGGCCCCGCTCCAATTAGGCACCGCTGCGCTCCCCGCCCTTCCTCCGCCACATAAAGGGCGGCGAGCGCAGCGTGGGGCCGGTCCTTTTGCTGAGGGGATCGGCTGTGTAACCGGTGCTGACCGGCCGTTTCTTTTGCCTGTCGTTTTTCTTGCACAGGTGGTTTTGGGGCCGCTTTACTTCAGTTTTTAACCCCTGTCGCTGCGCTACCAGCCGGCTCTGCCGCAGAGCCGCTCCGGTGCGCTCGAGGCTTCCTGAGCCGGCACAGCCCGGGGTGCGGGGCCGAGCCCGGCCGAGCCAGGGAAGCGGCGGGGGCACCATGCCTGCCACCTTCGCCGGGAGGTGCCTGGGGCGGCTGCTGCCGCCGCTGCTGTTGCTGCTGTGCATCAGTTTCTCGGGCGGGAGCCCCGCAGGTAAATGTAAAAGCTCCCTTGTACCGCGGGCCGGGTCCTCCCCGCCCTTAGTGTCGGGCAGGCTGGTGCGAGGGGGCCGGGACACCGCCCGGGAGCAAAGGTCCTCCCTGGCCCGCAGCATCCCCCCGGCTCCCGGGGGAGCGCGGCGCTGGCCCAGCCGGGCGGCTGCTGTTCGGCCGTGCCTGTGGAAATGGCTGAGCCGTTTCTTCTCCTCAGCGGCCCCGACCCTCCCCGGCGCCCCTGCCTCCCTCAGCGCTCGGGGCTGTTTTAGGGCACCGGGGAATCAATCCCCTCCCCTCTGTCCCCCGCCATCGGGGTGGCTGGCGGCGGCCCATCTGCTTTGTGCGGTCCTGTAGCCTCACTACTGTCCCTTGTCAGAAACGGGAGGGTTTACTAGCTCACAGGTGCAGGACTGGGAGGCTGAGGCATAGTGTTTTATTGCTGCCCTATTCTTACTGAGAAAAACATTTAAATCCTGGGGAAGAAAAAAAAAAAAGAATGAATTGGTAGATTACAGTGCTAAAATATCAGTATGCCTAGCAGACTGGGAGAAATGCTCCTTGGGATTTGATGCTGAGGTTTTAAAAGTGGCATTTAAAATCCATGAAGGATGAGGGGCTTGAGCCTTCTGTGCCCTGTTCTTGTAATGGTTTTCAGCAGTTTAGCATGGGACCAGGCAATTCTCAGGAAATACAAGCTTATTTCTTAAATCAGTGGATTTTTGCTGTTAATCCCTGTTTTGGGAACCACTGCAGAGTAGAATGGAGTGATATCAGGAGGAACTACCAAATAGTTGATGTTTGCTGTGCAAGATGAGCTTTCTAGAACAGGTCTTGCCAAGGCTGGGAGTTCTGTCATGACGTGTGTGTGAAAACCATGGCCGTGACTTGAATTAACCATCAGTATTTCAGCTACATCTTCAGTGTGTGTTATATAAATAGTTATGTGTTTGTGCCTGCCTCCTTAATGCTGAGAGGAGCAGTACTGTTTCTTGTGTGATGGTAGCTTTCCTAAACTTCGTAGTAGTCTCACATAATGTGAAAGGAAACATACTCTGCAGTTCTTAAGGCTTGTTTAAAATACGTATTTATATGTGCAGGGAAGAATCTGCTTTGTAGGTCTTAAACAGTCTGTGAAATATGTACATGTATTTCTGTACATGTGAAAAACTTGAAGGCCTTTCTGACAGCTTACTTCATTGAGAAGTTTTGTGACTGTAAATTGTTGATATTTACAGAAACATGTAAGTCACCATGTGGCTAACTTGCCATGAGGTGGTTTTTTCTGATGTCTGTTGCTGCCAAAAAACTGTAGCCTGATAGTAGCTGAAGCAATTCCAAGTTTGTATATAAAACCATTGGTGAAATTATGTGTTCTTATGAAAAAAAAGAAAAAAAGCCAAACAAATTAAACAACAAAGCCCTATTTTTGTTTCCAAAATTTCCACAAATCTACCATCTTCCCAAGGTGATGGATATCGGGTCTGGTTTTATTAGAGCTAAGGTAGCAGGTTTAGTTCCTTTTATCCATAGAGAGTAAGGTTGGTTTTTTTAGACTTGCATTAAATGTTTTTATAAACGTTTATAGTTGTTTTATGTATATATACATTATACATTAATGTATAGTTGTTTAACTTGGATAATTGTTTTGGAAAAATTTAAGCCATTGCTTTTATTCTGTGTTGAGCTACGGGTAATTTTTAACACATCACAGCACAGTTGTTCAGAACTTGCTTCTTTGTTTGGTTACCATTGTGGTTGCTTTATGTAGTTGACTGATTTTGGAAAAGCAATCCCACCACATCTCATCTCTCAGCTTCTGCTCCTGGAGAAACCAAGGACGATGAGAACAAACCTCACTTCTTACAGACTTTGTTTACAGGTTGAATTTTTCTGGTTTGCCCTGAGGGAAGGGTGTTTATCGGGGCATTTGGAAGTCCTTCACGTTGGTTCTCTGGTGTCTCAGGGGTATTAGGAGGTTCTGATGAGTGGTTTGGGGTGCTACTGAATGCTTGTGTAGTTACACAGAGTATATGATTGATAACAAACCTTAATGATGTTAAATTAAACTAAATTGTATTTCAGCCTTTCCTTGTTCAGCACCTTTCTGGCTGAAAGAGAGCAAATAGATTTTGAAGTCTGACATTGTTCTGATGATGATGATGAGCATGGTACATCCACAGTTTATCCCCCAAATATTGACTGCAGAATGGAGCAGACGTAAGGTGGAAAAATAAATTAATGACATCATACTCTTGGAACAAGAGCTCTACAAGCTACCACAATATCGATTAAATCTAATGCAAGTCAGTTAAAAGCTAAGGCATACAGCTGTGACTCAATAGTTTCAGAAGTTACTTGACTTGCTTACATCATTGCCTGGCTGGATGACACTAATCTTGCAGTGGTGCCTAACTAACCTTGATCTCTGATGCTATTCAGCAGGTGTATATGAGAGGAGAAGAGCAGTGCAATGTTACCTCTGTTCTGTGTAGTTTGACATATGGACAGATAAGACTGAAGATGTGAGAGCAGTGGTGACAAGAAATAGCACTACTTGACTGGTTGCACTTAATACATGAATCAAGGAGGAAAGCCAAGATGAGAATAATGTTAATATGCAGACCATGTTGCAGATGATCTGCCTTCATTGCAGAGACATAATAGAGCTGGTGTACATCTTGGCATTTGCGCCTTCTAAATTTATAATCTTTGGGGATTTTAATTACTGTGCAGGTGATCCACGACACACTTAGAATGCCTCAAGATGCTTCAGGTATAAAAATCCGTGGAGCTTTCTTCAAACTGTTAACCATGAATATCAGAAAAATAATAGCTCTTCCTGCTCTCAGCACCTCTGTAAAGCAGAGAGTAAGACTTACTGGCTGGGTCATAAGCCAGCAGATGTTCAGAGCAGATTTCTTAAATTACTTTCTTAGGGGAAGGACTGGTAGGGAAGAATTAGCTGTGAGACCAGTGGACTACTATGAAAAATTATGCAAATTAAACGGATGTTGAGAACCCATAACACTTAATTTTTAAGATCATATCCTTTGATTACCTTGTTTTACTCTTGATCCAAACTGGTTGAAGTATGATACACAGACTGAGAGAGCAGATGGTGCAAGCCAGGCATGACTGTGATGTAGTCTTGAGTGACTGTGTGCTGAAAGTGCCATTGGGAGTGTCTGTGGGTTGTCTGTGCCTGTAGTGCTGAAATGGGGTAGGAGCATTAGTAGTGTCATTCATTTGTAGGAAATGGCAGAGTGCTGACTTCACCTTTGCTGAAAGCATGCAGTTCTCAAAAGTTTGAATGGACTTAAAAGTATGATGTAGCTTTTCACTTTTCATCTGTGCATGTTTGTTGCTGACTTGGATACCTAAAAGAGCTTATCACCCCCATACCCCCAAGACTTTAACTGCAACTCTAAAACGTACCCTTTTTACCCTTTGTGCCTACAGGCAGAATCCCTTACTCTGAGTGCTGTGGTGGTAGAATATGTCCTGCAATACCTTCACTACCTTCACTAGCATGTGAAGATAGTGTTCATTTTGTGCTAACTAGCTCTGCCACCCAAATGTGGAAACAGAAAGTAAGGACCAAACATTTCCATTCTTCTAAAATATCTACATACTTTGAATTCTTAGTAGAAGAGTGACACAAAGACTTAAAGTAAGGAAGTCATCTTCTTCCCCTGCTGTTCTTTCTCCAGTCAAGAGCATAAAGCAAAATCCTAGAGTCTTACCTGGCTGTTGGAAAGAAACCTGTTATAGATGGAGGATCAGATTTGTAGTGGTGTTAAGGAAAATGGAAATCATCATTAGTATTATATGTTGAAGTTTGTGTTTGACACAGGTGTCTTTTGTTTGGCTTACCAAGGTGCTAATAGGAGGAAATAAGGTTTGTTCATTGGATCACGTTAGACTTTTTAAGGTTGTAATGAAGCCCTTATTCTATTAGCAATTCTGCTAATCCGTGTTAAAAACAGTCAGCTAGAGTCAGTGGTTGTCTAAGCCCAGGAAAAATTCAGGAGTACAGTTTATAAAGTCTACTGTAATATTCTGAAGAATGGCTTTGCTTGACTGTAGACTAACTACAGGAAAAGAGCCGTATACAGAAATTAGAGATCAAATTAATACTGCCTCTCTTCTTCAATATTTTCTTGCTAAAGTGAGCTAAAGAACTACTGAAAAACAGTTCTTGTGCATTTTTCCATCTATATGCTCAGAACTTGGGAAGAAATGGAGAAGGAATGCTGAGGTGAGGAGCTGCTTCTTGAATCCTTCTCATGAACTAGCTTCTAACTCGAATTAAATTTCTTTAAACTTTTTTTTAGATCCAGTTATGACAACTCAAGATGCCAGTCAGTCTCAGGCGAACTCCTTGACTAAGATGCAAGCTGGACTCAATGAATCATCTGGTAATTGTTTTATTTCAGTACACCTAAACTTATAGTACTTTTTCCTAGTGATATTTATTATGTAGCATGTTTCATACTCAAGCCTTTTAAAATAAAAAATTGTCACTTTTCAGAAGAAACAAGAGTAGATATACTATCTAGGCCTTTTAAAGCCATTGCTTTAAGAGATTAAGTGTTATAAGCATCTGTAGTACTGGAAAAAGCTATCCAGCTGCCAGTTGTGTGACCTGTTGCCCTTATGCATATATGCCATTAAAGCAGGCAGGGACCCTGGAGGTTGGACAATGCGTGAAGTAGTACCATTGCAGGAGTGTTCTACCACTTAGACCTGATAATTTTTCATGTGAGGGCTCCTTATGCTCTTGTATTAGTGAAAGGTGCAATAATGCCCTTGCATCACTGTGCCTGCTGCCTTCATCCATCTGTTTTATTAATTACAGCTGTGTCAAAAACATCTATTGTCCCTTCTACTTTTATTTGCTGGGCCTTAACTGTGGGTTGTGATGGGGAGCAGAGAGTATGTTCCAGGCAGGAGAAGAAATGAATGATTGTTGATTCTGCCTCTTATTTCTTCGTAAAGATCAGAGAAGGAGGATTTCAGCAGTGTACCAAAGCTCATGTTGATTAGTGCAATCAAAAATGGCAAGTTATATTTGTATGTGAACTCAATCAAGTTATGACAAGTTGCTCCCTCCGCAGGTTTTTTTTGTTGGAGATAATGCTATTTATCTACTGTTCATCTTCAGAGCTTTTTAGCTCTGTGAGATCTACGAGTGCAATACCTAATAGATTCAGTAACTTTTTATGTATGTAAACACAAATAGACATAGGAGCTAAGACACTGAAGTATTTCATATATGACCTCACCTGGCTATTTTCATTTGATATGTGAATTGAGGATAAAAGGTCAGCATGAAAATCCTATTGGAGTGCAAGACATTTTAAAGGCTGTCTGGTTTTTTTGTGGATGGGTAACAGCTACCATATGAACTGGCGGTGGTGCCTTCTGAATATGTCATCATGAGGGATTTTAATAACAAACCAGGTGATGCATGTAGTAGACTGACAGAAACTCAGGTAATCCGTGACAGCCTTGGCATGTTGTCAGAGTGTTTGTGCACACAGAGAGGCTAAGGTTTGCCAGAACTCTTTTAGCCTTTACATGTTAATTCGTGGGTAAACACTGTACTAGTTTGTTTCTCCATTGGGCAGAGACCAAGGTTTGCTTGTGCTCTTGTCTAGAGCAGCAGGACTTAGTGACTACTACTAGGGACAGCTTTCCTTTGCTTAAAAAGTCATTTTGGGCTGCCAGTTGAGGTTCACAACAGTCTGCTCTCAACAACATGCCCTGTTTGTCTATATCAACCTCCTTAGTATTTTATAGCTTTATTTTTGCTTATACTGGTTGAACCCTGATGGAAGGTATGAAAGCACATGTGGAACAAGCCAGGCAAAAGGCTGATCACCTATTGCAGAGCGTTCCTTGTGCTATGAGCTGACATGATGCCTTCTGAAACTGGCCAACACCTTGAAAGGCATGTGGTACCTCTGTTTATGCCTTTAGATGCAAACTACTAGCGGGAACTGCCTTCAGCACTGAGCTGAGAGGCACATGTTTAAGAACTTTACGTGAAAGTTCATTATTTTATTCAGGAAAGGAGAAGGAGTAATTATGCCGAGATCTAGGCTTTCAGAGGTACTATTTCTACTGCACAGTGATCAACTCTGCCACCCAGTGCTTCTCTCAGCAAGAAGACTAAGCTGCAGTCCAATTCCTGTTATTTTCTCAGTTATGAGTAGACAACTTTTCTGTCCATGGACAGGAGAGATTATGAAGCCCCTTTCCTTCTACAAAATCTAGAATAATTTTCTCTTACAATGCTGTATGATTAGGCAGTAATTACTATTCATGTATTTCAGCAATGCATTATGAAATATCTGAGAAATTATTTTCAAGCATGTAAGATGTGGCTTAAAACATTTAGTGTGTCTAGTAGGGGTAGGTGTGGGGATCTATTTCCTCTGTGTCATCACTAAATTAAAAGAAGATTATTGTAGTTGGTCTACAACTCTTAGAGCTGTAGTTTATTAATTTGCTTTTTTCTGTTCTTGAAATGCACTGAGCGTGTGAACAAGTGATGGGAACAGACTGTTTGTGCTTACAGTTGCTGTATCAAGCTAAGCTTTGTAGGACCTTATAAAGGATTGCATACTCTCTGAAGAGTATGGGATCCACAGTCCTTCTGAAAAGGGATTTTGCAGAAAACAGTAAACCTTTTAAATGTAGGTTTTCCTCACAAAAGGCATAATTTTTAATCTGGCACATGATGATTGATATTGATATTCTTCTTGTGTGGAAGCGCATTTCCTGGATAGGACAATAGAAGTTTTGTGGAGCAGTGAGGATCTCTATGTTCTAGTGGATCACATGTTCTAGTGGTGTTCTTGCCTAGACTTTCTGGCTGTATGATAAAATTGTAGTGGCTTTGGGAATGGCAGTGTTCTGTCCCTCTGTTTCTTTATTTTTCTAAATCTTACTGCTTTTTCAGGAACTGTTTAAACATGGATGTAGTCCTGTATGGTTCTAGGATCCATCCGTAATATATAAGTGACTTCTTGAATCAGGCTGTGGAACAGTGATGACATTTTTAGAGTATTGACATTCACAATTAGAGCATTAAATAAAAACTGGAAACCATCTTCTAGCATAGCATAATTGCTGTAACAGCAACCCCACAACACTGCTGCTTTAAGATTCTGACTGTTAACACACAAGGTATATAACAGGATCTCTGTAGTAGTCGGCATTTGGCAAGGTTATTATTTCCCCCCCCAAGATTGCTATAAGTAATGGTTGCACTACCTTATTGACATGCTGCTGTGTGATTACTTACACAGAATAATATATTACTTTGCTTTGCCCCAAACCTTGTTAGGCCCAGATCTTACCACACAAGGTCTCAAGCAACCAAGCAAGGAGCGCCAGTCTAATAGCTCTTTTCTGCAGTTTGAGATACTTCTACCTGGTGAGTGTGTTATTTTTTGTCTTCCGTTATTTTATATCCAATGCCTGTGCTTACAGATAATCTTTCATATGAGTTGTAGAAGGAGTGAAGATGCTCAGAGTGAACATGTGATGAGCTCAGTAAAAGAATAAGTTTATGCTACCATTGACTATTGTGTTCTAACAACTATTTTGCAGTAGAGAATTACATTCATTATTAAAACTGCAAGTAAAAACAATTCATACCTATCTCTTCCTCCAAATCAATTGAAGTAACAGTTCTTTTGCACTAGTGAATCCTCTCGGAGAGACCATGTAAGCTAGGGTACAGGTGTTAGCTTAGCAGCGTTGCAGGAGTTAAAGCATGGAGAAAAGGTAAGATTAAACCCATTCCTAAAGAAGATGTGAAGTTTCCAGTTGCCAGATAATATTTTCTAATTAATTCCTTGGGCAACTGGAAAAACTGAAATGTCTCAAAGGTTTGCAAAGTACTGGCATGATATTTTAAGGATATAATTGTTCAGCGTTTATGCTGTATTTTCTTCTGGCAGGAAACTTAAGATGGTGTCTGTTTCCTATTATGGTACGTGCACTCTTGGTACAGGGTTGCCCCAGATGTCAGTCTTGCTAGTGGTTAATCCTCAATATCATAGCATTTCCTTGTTCTGTTCATTTAAAGGGTGGCTTTAACTTTAAAATCTCAAAAGATACAGATTCTATTTTAACCAGTGTAATCTGACTGTAAGACTTTTTTTGCTGTTAAACCAGTTCCATTTGTAAAATTTGATCATAAGCAACCTCAACAAGCAGAGTTATGCTTGACTCATTTATTGTGTAATCACTCTAATAAATGTTTCAATAACTGATTTTGCTCTGCTATGAAAGGCTAAGGTGTTGCATTTCGAAGTTTATTTCCAGTTCAGCAGATCTGAAATATTTTGACTGGGACTTGAAGTTCTGGACGTGCTGTTCTTCAGGTTGTAAATTTCTCTGCCAGACCCACTTAAGTTCACTTATATTCTGTACTGGGAAGTATCTGGTGCTTCTACTTCAACCAGGCCTTGCTGTTGACTAGGTATGACTTGCATTACTAAGGCAGTGAGCTGAATTTTAAAGCTTCCTTTTCTCTTGGAAAGAATGCAAGCTGTGAAATACAACTGCACTCTTTTGACTATCAAGTACTGCAGGGCTTGTCTAGGATTGGGGTGATGCTTGGAATAAAGACATGAAAGAAAAAAGATATGAAAGAAGAGGCCAATTATGGAATAAAATGTCATTGCTAACAGGTACAATGTTTAACATGTTTTCTTATAAAAGGCTGTTTCTATGGGTCAGAAGATACTTGCTGTGTAAAGCCTACTTTTTGGATATGTGTGAACCTTGCTAAAAGCAAAAGCCCATCATGCTTTTCTACTGTATTGGAATAGTTTCACATTGTAATTCTACAGACTTGTCAGGAAGGCAAAGGCAACCATAGATTGGTTTGAAGATGATTTGATTTCAGCTGGAGTATATGTAGGGTGAAAGACCGGATCCAACTGTGATCTAACAACGTTAGGGATGTGGACTTTATCAACAACTTCCCTAGAATTAGGATAGGACTGTGATCTCAGTAGCATAAAAATCTGCAACTGCCTAAAATCCAGAGAGTTATAGATATTTATAGCTTACTCTTCTTGACATTAATATCTCTTTCTGTAAACTTACTGTGTACTTAATATTTTTTGTTTGGATTAAATAATGTAAAAGCATGAATCTACCTTGCTTTCAGTGAAATGGGGTATCTATGTTTCTGTAACAGACCCCTTCGTAGGTAAACTAGGAAGTTTACCTACAAAATGAAGTGTGTTATTTTTGTAATGCTTGTGTATCATAACAGGGCTTAAGAACATTACTGAGGTACATTGCGGGTTTTTTTTTTTTACCCTGTAAAGTATGAGTAGTGCTCTGTATTCAACTGTAATCCTGCATATGCAAACACAATCTTCCAATCTCTTCTTCCCCAAGCATGAAGAAATCTGTTTTTTTCAGTAAAAATTTCTTAAACTTCTTCTAGGTCCTCCTGGTACTTTGCTGGAAAGAAATATCAGTTTGGCCAATGCAACTACAGTTGAACTTTCATGCAAATTAGATCCAAATTCTCATTTAAAAAGCCCTCAAGTGACTTGGAAAAGGGGGAATGAAACAATCAGTCACACCACTAAAACTGAGAACAGCTGGAGCATCAAGTAAGTAGCATTCTTGACAGTGTGATTTGCAGGCTCTAAAGAGTTATCACATGTATATACACTGCCCAATACTAGTCATGTATATATTGGAAAAGAGCCAAATGCAAAGATTAATCATCATATTGGAGCTACAGGAAAGGAGAAAGGGTGCAGGTAGTTCTTCCTCTAGTGCTGGAAAAAAAAAGCAAACCAAGAAAAAGAACATGATGCAAGAAAAGAACATAAATAAGGACACAGTTCTTTGAGGTTGAGTAGTTCTGTTCAGTAAGTGAAATAGTAATATCAGTCTGAGATTGAGGTATTTTAGCAGTTTCTCTTTTGACATTTGTCTTTTCCACCTCCTTGCTGCTTTGCAGAAGTCTGGAAAGCATCAATGGCCAGTTTCTTTTCCTTCATAATTAGCAAAACAGAGAAGAAATCAGCTTTACACTAAAGATGTTTTGAAGGTTTTCTTAACTCTTTCAAACCTCTACAGAAACTCAAATGTTATAGAAACCTTTCTACAATTAGTACAATTTGCTGTTGTTCTTTTTAATAAGGTCATTTACACATTTTTAACCAGGTGGTCTCCAGTTCATTTCTGATTTCAAGCTTAGGTTTCTTAACAGCAATAATACTTTTATAAAATTTCTGTGATAGAAAATATGTCAATGTGATTGTCACTTTTCTGATATACATATACACAAGCACAGCCATGCAGGTCTTTTTCAAAGTGCCAGTGAAACCTGTAGTTTGCCAGTGGAGAAGATACTGGAAGCTCTTCAGAACTCCTTTTTGTGTTGAACTGACTGGTTTCAGGGTAGATTACTTCCATGGTTTGTTCTTCCTAAAGTCCTACATAGGATATGCTAGATAGTTGACATGGTGAACTTGTTTCTGATTTAGTAACATAAAGATCATACTGCCTAAAGATGTTTTGGCCTTCTGTGACCACGAAGAGTGAAAACAATATTTATGTTCTTGTGGTCTTCTGTTTTCTTAAAAATGTCGTGCTGTTTCTGCGCTGCACTAAACCTGAATCCTAGTGTTTCAGTGATGTATGTTCTCTGCTACTAATCCTTACTATTTTCTTTAGAATGTTAATTAGCAGTCACTCATAGTTGTAAGACAAAAGAAAATACGTGCAAAAAGCAAATGGGTGATTTCTTTTTTTTTTTTTAAGATTGGTGATAGTGGATAGCAGTAAGATGGGAAGTTACAGCTGTATCCTGAAAGGTGACAAAGAACTCAGTGCTACGTTTCATTTACACGGTAATTGTATTTAATTAATTTTTATTGATTTTTAAATTTTTGTTTCACCTGAACACTACAAACCTGTATTAATAGGGCTTCTAGAGAGTATGGAAATTGGAACTTAATTTAATAAGTAATGACTAATAAGGTCAAGCTAAGTGAGAATTACTTTCAAAGTCATTTCTGTAGCATGGAAGGAAGACGAAAGCTAAAAACCTTTTAAAAAAAATTTTCTAACAACCAAAAGAACATACAGGTCTAGGTTTTTTTCCCTTAATGAGTAACTGATCCCCCTTTCCCTCTCCATCCCTAGAGCCTGAGTGAATACTCTTCACTTTCTGGGGGATGGGAATAAAGGATAGGTGTCTCAGATAAACTCTTCCAAAAACAGAGCCAGTAACTTGAAAGTTTGGTCTGAGATTTGGTGTTAAATGTGAAGCAAAGATTGGTAGAATAGAGGCAGATTTTTTTTAAATTTCAGTTGTATTTCTTAAACACTAAATTACTGTTTTAGTGCATGTTTTATTCTCTCTAAGAATAGCACTTACATGAACAATTAGGTGCTTCATTGGGCAGTATGCGTGCCCTTTCTTCTATTCTGTGTTCTCCAATAATGTTATCCCTGACAGTAGTAGGTGAATGGAAGATGTGCGGAAATGAAACTAGTACACGCTGCTGTTATGGTGAATAACTCTCATGAGAGAGGTATTCCCTTCTCTATTCCCACTATCCAAATTTTGCAAAGAGCGAGGGAAGCATTTAATCTGTGAGGGATCTACAGGCTCGTACGTGAGAGATTTTTCCCTGAGCACAGGCTCTGAGAAACTCCAACTCGTCAGTCAATATCCTAACCTCAGCTGAAATAACTAGCAGGGCTTACTGATTCTTGGTGCTGCAAGCTGCCTTTGTTCAGTGGAATATCTGGTAATATGACTTGAGCAAACCTCATGTGTGTTCAAATCTTTAGTGTTGACACCTGCTTTCAGACCTTCAGCCAGTGGAGACTAGCTTGCAATACTGAATGAAGACAAGACAAAATTGTAGTTTATTCAAGCCTTTTAATCTCTGAAAATGATGATGTATTTTTCCTGTCAGTATGTGGGTAAGGTTTAGTTGAATAGCTAACCATGTCTGTTTCAATTGAAAAAAGTCCAAGGAGACCTTTTTTTTTTGAAAGTATACAATATCTCTTGCAGTAAGGGCAGCAATGGCTCAATAGGAAAGTCGTCTTTTCCAGAACAGTGCATAGGACTGGTTGATTTATTATAAGAAGATGGGAGAATTGCTTCATGATGGTTGAACGCCACCACTTCTGATGCCATAAAAAGTACTGGCTTGACACTTTCTATGATTGTGCAAGAGTGAAGGAAATGGGAAAGAGAAGTCCTTGAATCTTCCAGTCAATAATGCAGGAAGAACAGTTCTGAAACTGAAAGATGAGTAATGTGTTGGTATAAGCTCAGTGGCTAAAGTCATTACTGCTGTAACTAACAGCTATAACTCTTCCACTAGGCAGTTTGGCATGATTGGATGTTTTACCTCTCCTCTCCTTTCCCCCTGCTTCCTGGCCTGGTGTAACCCTGCAGGTTTTGTGGAGTTAGGTTTTTACTCATGTCTGCAGACAATGAGATATTTAAAGGAAGTTCAAATTATTAAACACAGAGAACATTCATGGGTATTTTAGTGTTGAGAAGTGTTGCAAGCTTATAAAAGGGTAGAATAGATTAATTTGTGTTTGCCCTTTGTGTGGGGATCCTTAAGCAGCTGTTGAGGAACATGCACTATGAAATAGCTCTGGTCTTTAAAACAGTATGGAAATCTCACTGGTGTAAATGCTGGTGCTAACTAACAGCTGTCTGTCTCTTCAACAGTTGATTTTTGTCGGTGCAGCAGAAGTGTTTTGTCACCAAATCTGGTATGATCTGCTTGGAAAAATGCCTGGGACAGAGTAGATTATTTCTTTGTGCACATTCAGAAATTAGCAGCTGTTACAGAGCCAGATCCCAGAACTCATGGTGGATATTCATATCCTTCATCGTGGCTAATGTGTTCACTTGTATTGCTGATAATACCTATAGCTGTGCTTTGCCACTGATCAGCATGGCTGAATCTTTTTGACTGCCACATAAGCTTGTTGTGCTGGGTAGTATATGTGTTTTTTGTTTGTTTCCTGTTGTTCCTTTTTTTGTTTACCCCAACCTCCTTTTGTCTTCTCTAAATTTCAGAGGTGGCAGCAGTTATTAGTGAGGTCATCCCTTTTACTCACAGCAGTGAACATACTCCACCAGTACTCCTAAGGGTGGTGTTGGATGATAATACATGCACATGGAGTGAGAAGACTTCATTAGTAATGAGGCTGGATTGATGTATGGTGCAGCAAATGAGGCTGAAAGCAATTGTTCTTATCAACAAATTGGTTTTATGTTTCTGGACTGGAAACTCTGAAGTTTGAATACACATGAGAAGTGAACTTTTTTGGGAAAAATAGTTTGTACTTGGCTAGTCAAGAAGGGGAGGGGGGGAGACAAGAACAATCTTAGTTTGTATCACCTGCAATTAAAGTGGCTTGGGCAAGTGGTTAAACTGAAGTTAAACTGATGTCTTGTTTCTTGTTGGCTGTATTCTGTCCTCAGCAAGATAAGACAAAAAATGCTATTTATTGTCATGCATCCAAAAGTCATTACTTCAGCTCAGTAAATACTTGTAACTACAGATCTACAATTTGCAGTTTTGTCTTAATTTTGGAAAAGTTCTCTGCATGCACAGCTTGCCAGATACCATTATGTAGTCGCACTGTGGCTGGAATAGACTTCTGTCAGTTTCTGCAGATTGAGTGAAACTGTGGGAAAATTCTATATTTGTTTCTAGTGTACTAAAACTGAAGCATATAGCTTACAGATATCAATTAAGGGAAAGAGGAAATGGGCAAGGGTAGAAATCACAGTCTGATTATCACTTAGTGTTTGGTATTAAATGGCAACTTTTAAAATCGCACAGCAACTGAGAAAAGGGTTCCGATAGTCTTCTTTACAAATTCTGTATGTGAAATATCAGCATGAAATGACTCCTCATTTACATCACGTCATGAATGATAGAATCATCTGTGTTTAAGTGAAAGAGAAGTGAATAGACTACTATAAATGCATACCTGAATATATTCTTTCTGTAACACTAATTCAAACCTGTATCTCTCACTTGGTGAACTTTTCCTTCTTGTTCTTAGTACCGAAAATTGAAGCAAGAGAAAAACCTGTAATCACTTACGAAAAAGATACAGCTGTAATGGTTTGTAAAAGTGACTCTACTCCCATGACTTGGACCTGGTATATGATGAGTGGAAGTAAGCCGGTAAGGTCTCCATCTGTTGGCCAAGCAAAACAGTGTGGCAAAGTACAGACAATTCGTAAAGTATGATGGCTCTTGATTGGAGGCTTTACAAATTGCATTTCCATTAACTTTAATGTTAACTCTGTATGTGGAAAAAATACATGTAGTATTTAGAAGTAATCATTATTACTGGGATGTAGATTTTTTTTTCTGGTTCGTATGTTGTTTCTTTTCCAAAAAGTCTCTGCCATACTCCTGTAGACCATGTAAGATAAAGTAAAACAGATAAAGGTGAGTCTTGAGAGACTTGGTTTTGCTGTATTTATGCTGGCTATATTCCTCAAATCTTGCCACTTGATACAAAAAAATCTTTCAGTGGGACACACTGTCAAAGACTTGTAAGATCCTGTAGGACAGAGGGAGGACACAAATATATCCCTTCTTTTCCTCCTCCAGGGACAAGTAATTCTGTTTCCTGGCCTATGATCTCTCTGGGAAGTATAACCACTGTGTTCTAGCCCTTTTCTGAGGGCTCTTGAGAGGAGTTAAATAGATTTATTTTCATTATACTGCTGGAGAGTAGCACTGACTTGTAAGACTGTCAGGATATTTCCCAGTGTTCACACCTCAGTGCCCATGAAAGTTTATGCTTTGTGCTGTGGTGAAAGCTGTGCGTTAGATCCTGGCACCTGAGGATACCTTTGTCATCAGAGAGTCAATAGAGCCAAAGGTACCTTTTTAACTGACCTGATATAAAAAAGGTCAGACAACTAACCCACCAAAAGTTCATATTTCCTTTGAATCTAAAGGGAACCAGGGTGGCCACCTAAGATAAATCCTTCCCTTGGAGGTGGAGTAATCATGTGTCACAAATGCCAGTTGTTCCTCACCCATTTTACATCTCTTTATAGAACTATTTGTCAATGATACAACTTGATTAAGAACTTGTTACATTAATAAGACTTGTAATGCCTTTTTAATTTCAGGTTATCATTAATGAATCTTTGTGGACAGACAAGTACCTAATTTCTAGACTGTCTGCCAATGTAACCCGTCTGAGGATACTCAAGCTCACCAAGGAAGATGCTGGTGTATATTGGTGTGAAGCTGTTTTCGAATTAGGGAAAAGTGAAAGGAAGATGGAACTTAAAGTTCTGTCCCTCATGGCACCTCTCAAACCCTTCATAGCAGTTGTTGCTGAAGTTATTATTTTGGTAACTACCATTGTCCTTTATGAGTTGTATTCGAAAAGGAAAGGAAAATGTACCGGTAAGTTGTTTGGGTTTTTTTTAACGATTTCTAGCTTTCCGTTGAAAGTGCAAACAAAGGTATGACCCACAGCACTTCATATATGAAGTTTAATGTGAATTTTACATCATTTCTTTCTGATAAAATACTTTCTTCTAGAACACCACGTTATTTTAGATATTTAAATCTCTTCCATGTGTCCTGAATCAAATGCAAACTGCATTCAGTAAGCAATATTTTCCCATAAAGGGTTTGATTTAGTGCTGGGGTTTTTTTTCTTGGAATACAAGGGAATTTGGAGGCTGTAGTTTTTGGGGAAACACTTAGGAATGGAAGCAACTCATAAGAGCTTTGAAGGGAGAAATCTGCTTAGAGAAATGGAGTAAGAAGGAAAAAGACGTTAAACCAGAATGCAGTAAAACTAGTTGCTGAACCCAAGGCAAACTAGGGGTGAACAGAATTAGATGTGCAAGATGAAAGAGAAATTGTATATATGTAAAGTCTTTGTATATATGTGTTTTAATGCATACATGCATGTATCAATATTTTATAATACAGAAATGTATAAACCAATGTATATAACATGTTTTGTATTAAAATCAGATTAATAAATCTTTATAAAAATAAGTTTTTTGAAAAATTTGGAGGTAATTTCATTCGAGTAACAAGATAATTTGAATAAAAAAATCTAAGAAAAGTAAGAAAATGAAAAAACAAGGTTTTGTTTTGATTAAAAAATGAGTAAACAATACACAAAATCAGAATTTTTCTATTGTTTATTAAATTGAGATTTTAATCCTTTTTTTTGTATCTTCTGCTGTAGGTGGAAAAGCATGTGACCAAACTGAGCAACTGTAAGTAAAGAATTTCTATACTGGAGTTAAATATTTTTTCTTTTGTGTATTATTGATGTAGAGAGTTTTATCTTGTTGCTGACTAGTTGGTAAGGGATGATGATGAATGTGGAGGTACAGTTTATTATTTTCCTCAAGACTTCTTAGTTCCAAAGTGAGCAGAGCTCTATTTTCTACCTGGCACTTGATTTTGAGATTAAGCTATTTCTCTTTTTCTTTTTTTTTATTGAGAGCACCATGTGTCCTTGTTATGACTGTAACTTGCAAGGAAATAACTTTGGGGTGGTAACTTTCCAGAAGAGGCTTAGAATTTTTTTAAAATGTATATTTGTCCATACTAATACATTTCTCTCACTTTCACTTGGTTGAAGCCCTGACTCCCCTAGGAAAGCTTGTAGTTGCTGGGGTGCTGGGAGCTGCCCTTGTTGGCTGTTTTGGTGGTTAAGTCAAACCGCTCAGGGGGACTGATAACTTGGGCTCTCTGGGCACAGGACCATCTGCACTGCTGGAAACAAAGGGGCAGGTGTAGGCACTTGGGCTGCTGGTCTGCTGCTTGAGGGTCTGTGCTCCCATGCTGACTTCCCCATCCTTAGGATGATGCATGCCTCTAGGCTTGCTTGCTAAAACGTGCTGTACTTTCTGCCCATCTTCTGAAGCCCAGTTGCCTCATCTGGCCTAGTTACACCATAAAACAAGAGGAAAGTCTCCTAACAGTTCCTCTTTTTAGATCTGTTCAGTCTCTTCTGGATTTTCTCCCCCCAGTTGCTTCTCTCCTGTGTTTATCTCCTTTTTTTCTTCTGAGCAGCTGTCTTTCCCTCCCTCCCTGAATTTTTTTCTGCAGCGACCTTTGTTTCCCTGTGTTGTATTCACTTTCTCATTCCTTTTGCCAGCACAAGCTGAAAATATGTTTTGGTACTTTTGCCCTTATCTGAACAGATCTAAAGCTCTAACTCAATTATAGTACAAAGTGGCAGTATGTCTTGGGAATACAGTATGCTATTACTTGACTCAGTGTTTGGGGATATGTCTTGGTTTGAAAATAGAATAATTGTCCTTATGCACAGCCCGTCTTCTTGTAAACCCTCTGAAACTGTATTAAACTAGGATTGTAATATAGACTAGTGCACTAAAATAACGTTTTTATGCTTGTGGGATGCGGTTCTGCTTAATCTTTATTGTGGAATTCTATCTTAGATAAAAACATACAAGGAATATTTATTTAACTCTGTTCTTCTCTGATTTCGAGAACTGAATGTTACTTCAACTATTGGCTGTTTAGAATATAGATTTGTGTACCAGGGAAAATGGCTCCAGAGGAACATTTCTGTTAGGTATGGGATGACTAATACACCTGAACTTGGTTGATGAGGCTATAATTTTAATGTCACATCCAACTATATATTTAGGTAGGAGCCTAGTGATTCACAAAATTTTTTTAGCAAGAGAATTTTTAACTCAAGTCTTGATTGTGATCCATACCATATACTAGGTGAATTTACTCTGTAAGGAGTAATCATACGTTGGTTTCATTCCATGTTCTGAGAATATTGAGCTATATATTTACTGCTTGTATATTGTCTGAGTATTCATTTTGAGTACAAATTCTTTATATTGAATGAAGTGATAGTGCAGGAATCATCTGGGAGTGCTATTACTGTTCTAACTTTTGCCCAGAGTTCTGTGGAATTTTTGGGAGCAACTAAGTTGAGTCTTTACTACTTGATTGAAGGACTTCAAGAGTCACTATTTTGGTTGCTTAATTTCTTCTAATCTTTTTTTCTTCATATGCCAAAAGAGAAAATCTAACACATTTGAGATGTATTCTGGTTGGGTTGTGGGACTGGAATAATTGTGGTATCTTACACTTAAAGTTGAGTTTTGGAATTCAACCTCTTTTTCTTCTAGTAAATCACGTGAAGGCAGTAGTGCTAGCCACAGAAAAATTTAATCCGGTTCCTGAAAAGGTAAGAGTTGAAACAGAGAGCAGAGTTTACTTTTCTGTTGAGCAGCCTAATACTAGGACAAAGAAGTCCACTGTGCCATCCCAATCTGGTTTTTTATGTGGTAGCAATGTAGTAGTTGAACCATTGTTTAGGTGAAACAACATACAGTCAAGCAAGAAAGCAAGTCCAAATCCTTTTAACTCTAGTCTGTTGTCATTGTGATTTAATAGTTCTGTTAACCCATGCAGTTTTTAAAATGGGACCTAGGTTAACCAGCTTAACTTCTTGACTCCTGATCGTGAAACAGTCCTGTGAATGCCCAGGATAGGTGTTGAGATGCATAAGAATTGCTACTGTATTCAAAATCCTGCTCTTTCAGACTGTATTTCGGATGTTGAGTGAGTTTATGGAGGAAGGATCCAAATGTGATAGCAAGCAGGGAATGTGACAGTACTGGAGAGATGAAACAAGGGTTAGAGCAGTCTAGGAAAAAAGACAGAGCTTAATAGATGGTGACTCAAACGGACTAGTGGTAGAATAAGGAAGCAGAGGGTATGTAGCCCTGTGAAAGCTATGTAATGAACTTCCTGATCCTCTACCCTGTTTACAGTCCGATTATAGGCTGCTTTTACTTATGCCAGCTGGAAATGCTTGTCAAAGGATGGTCTGTCAGTTGAGGACCAATCCTACACACTCTTCTTTCCCCTCTGCATCTGGCACCCCAAACTCTCATCTGTAGATGACAGTTGTGAATGACTTTGCATTCACAAAATCACAATCAGTACTGATACTGTTTATCCTCATCACAAGCCATCTACTTGAATAAAGGTTGTTCCCATACACTTTGTTTTAAAGAACAGAAAGAGAAATGTCAGGTAAACCTCATGTAAAAAGAGTAATGAATCAGGAAACCAGAAAATTACGTTCCAAGATTATACTGTCTCCTAGGTTTCCTGCATGGTATTTCACTTTTGATTCCTCTGACTTATGTTCCCTAAGTGTTCAGGTTTAGCCCCAGCTGGCAACTGTGCCCCATGCAGCCACTTTTTGCTCTCTGATGGGATGTGGGAGAGAATCAGATGAGTAAATGTGAGTGACTGCGTGGGCTGTAATATAGACAGCTTAATAGGGAAAGCAGAAGCTGCACACACAAGCAGAACAAAGGATTCATTCACTATTTCTCAAGGGCAGGCAGGTGTTCAACTATCTCTGGGTTAGCAGGGCTCCATCATGCTCCACCATGCATAATAGCTACTTGAGTTAATTGGGAGAACAAATACCATCACTCTGAATGTGCCCTTCCCCTTCTCCTTCCTCCCCCAGCTTTATATGCTAAAAATGATGCCACATGAGATGGAATATCCCTGTGGTCAGCTGGAGTCAGCTACTCTGGCTGTGTCCCAACTCCTTTTACCCACCCCAGCCTCCTCACTGGTGGGGTGGGGAGAGTAGCAGAATGAAGTTTATTTTCAAATAAATATGGGAAAATACTAAGCAGAAAAACAGTAGAATTCCTATTATAATGCGATGTTTATTCTTTTTTATTGCAGGAGACTTAACCCAACAGAAGTGGAAATTGTTACAAAGCTACAGAAGATGTATGCAGCTATGCATTTGAAACATTCACTGTGTTTCTAAGTAAAGTCCTCTATGTTTATGAGAAAAAAGATGCTGTGAAACTGCTCATTTTTTAGAGATGATAATCTGCTGTATTGCATTTAGATTTTTGCTGTCTGTAACGTTTGTCTTTTTACTACTAGAAGGCGTTTTTTGATTTTATGTCTTAAAGTGGAACTAACCTTGCATTCACTGAATGAATGGTTAATATAAGAGTGTGTTTTATAAAGCTGGACATGTAAGACTGAAAATGTGTTTCCACAAAAGAAAATGCCTTTTACTAGCTGATGAAGCAAACGTGACACAGCCGTTTTTACCAAAGAAATGGTGAGAGGGAAATCTTTATCGCGGTTTAAATGAAACATTAACAGTTGCAATTTGCTCTGAACAGCAAAATGTCTTCATTCTTAGCTTCATTCTGAATGCTGCTGTACTGTACTTCGTAATAGGCTGCACACTTAAATACTGTACAGATCAGATATTTGAGTAGATGAAAGAAGTAACGGGGATACAGTACCTTTTCAGACTATAACTGCACTAATTCCTTATGCTTGCACTGTCTGGGGCTGCAAAACCATTTTTGTGATTATAATTTATACAGAACACTGAATTTTCATGAATATACTTTTATGGTTCCGATTATACATCCTGTCTAGTTGGTACTTCTGCTTTTTTCAGCAAACTGTGTTGTTCTTTAAACTCCTTGCAAAGCACAGGAAGGGTCTTGAGCCGCTAAAATTTTCAGGATAGTAGAATAAAGCAACATGAATACCACTAGTTCTCTTACACAAAAATTTTACCACTACTGTTAATGACTTATGATATTGCTTTAGAAGAGTGAGTTACCATAATACATTATGCATCCAGCAATTGAAAAGTATTCAGCTAATAGGAAAACAGTTTGCTGCTTTAGTTGCTTTTGCTTGTTAATCCAGAAGAAAAATAAGTAAAACTTGAATTTTGAGGGGGAAAAAGTAAAGCCTTCAGGAAAATTTATTTTCCCAATGAAAACATAAGGAAAAAACAGGCAGCATTTGCAGACTCTCTAAGAAAGTAAAAGAAAAAAAACATCTAAATAGCATTTCTTTGTAGTGGTCATTTTTCTTTGAACATAAAGGAACACAGTGAAGAGATAAAATAGATTTAATTACCTTCCTTTTTTTAATTTTGTTTCACACGTTTGAAAAAAAGCCTAGCACTGACTGTTTTGTTACAGATGGGAGACAAAATCCAGTCTGATCTATGTGATTTTGCTTTTCATATTTCATTTTCCAGCTTTAAGAACTACAAGTTAAAGTTGAAATAAACAACAGTGAGAAGTATATAAGTATTAGGTGATTGTAAGAAATGAACACCGGTAAAGATTTCCCTTGCTTAGATACTGTGTTTATTGTATTTTGCCATGGAGTTTCTATGCACTATAAAAACAAGAATGCATTTACAGTTTTTATATGAATTTGTCATTGATATAACAGCATTTTTGTTGCAGCAAGTGAATGTTTCCCACTTTAAAAGGTTTACTTCTATATATTGTTTGACACGTTTTAGGTTTGTAGAAAGTTGTTTCTTATAGGAAGTTCAGCAATAAAAAAACTAATCTTACAGATCCAAGAATTAGATTCTGAATAAAACAGCACTAATATATTTTGCAATTGAAAATGAGGCTCAATACTGTCTGGAAAAGAGCCCATCTCTCAATCAAAAATAGTAACAACATCTTTCTGCCCTCACTTAACATTCCTACCTGATCTTGAAATTCTGGTATGAAGTCCTGGTTAACATAGGGAAGTCACATGAATAGATGGGTTTTTGGTATTAGCAAGTAAGGCTGCACTGAAGGCAGGGAGACCTGGGGTTAAGCATGGATTTTAGAAGCAGCATGTCATAGATCTATCAGGACTGATACTTGGTCAAATTGCCTACTGAACCAGTAGTTCTGTCTTGACCTGCCTCTAGCATGTTCTGCTTGCCATGTCTGCAAGGGGTTTGGTGTTTAATTTTAGGTTTGCAGGTAATTTTTTTTTCATCTTGGTGAGCGGTTTTGTTCCATGTATGTTTGCCTAGGTTTAAACTTTCTTGGGCTGTCCTACAGAGGAAAATAACAAGTAATACTAGTTGAGAAATATTAAATAATTGGTATAATTAATGGTGAAATTCAAAGGCATAAGCCCTACTGGTTTTGGTCCAGAAATCCCAGGGAGCTCTGGAAGTCTTGAAATTTATCTTTAGAGAAATGTGTATGGTATATGTTAAAAACATTCTTTTTATGATCTGTTGAATTTTGCAGACACAGCCTTCAATGGAGCAAAAATTTGGCAGCTTAAAAAAACCCAAAGCTCTAGGCAGTGATTTTCTGTTTTTACTTCCTTCAAGCCAAATGATACCAACTGAGGGCCAAAACAATTTTGAAGATATTTCCTTCAAAAGCAGTTAGAGCTAAGTTTAAGGATCCACTGAATTACTTTTAATAACAGACATTAATAATTGACTTATGTGGATAGACTGAGTAACTATTACATTTGTTTGGCAGATCTTGTCTTCCAAGATCAAATCTATCTTTTTTTGCAAGAGGGGATATCTTACAGCTTTTCATAACAACAAAAACCTTATCCATTTCTTAAGAGGAAAAGGTTGAAGTCTGCAACAGAATCCTGAAGGTCTGTTTCCTGGTGGTTCAAACTGCTTTACTGCAAATTCTTCTTGTCCTTAGATCCAAAGTAGACCCAAGCAGCTGCAAGACCAAATTCCTAGTGAAGATGGACAAATATTACAGCAGTTTTCAAACTGTGGGTTCATATAGAACTGTATTAATATTTCTTTAGTATGGAGACCTAAGAATTACTGTGCAGTAGGTCAGCATAATTGATCAGCTGTAGGTCACTTGACACATGCAGTCCTGGCAGAGAGAGGGGAAACACCGTCATAATTGATGTTGCTACTAAAATCATCATCCATATGCCTCTTTTTTCAGCCAAAGCAAGTGAGGGTTATATTCTGCCTTTAAATTCTGCCTCAGAACTTTTCAGTGGTGACTGTTGAGCAAGGAAGATTAAAGGGTGTCTTCAGTGTATGGGAGTTTAAGTTGAATGGTCTCTTAAGTGTTGAGCTACCCAGCACATGTCGTCTGACCACAGTTAGCCACATCATGATTCAGTTCTAGTATGAAACTCCCCAAAAATAGGAAAGTAAAAATAGTGAGGGAGAAAGTGGTTGAGAATGGTGTAGGGACATGGAAAGGAGCTGCATAGGAGCACTAAATAGGGCTTCTGAGGAACAGACTGCAGTAGCTGAGATGACTTGCAATTATACACATATAAGAAAGACCAAGTACAAATCTGTAAGAGAAAACTTTTTTTCAGCTGTGCCACTCAGTATTTGTGTAGGAAGTTCTGTGCAGTAAGTGAAAGCAATCTGCCATTGCTGAGCACTTGGACGTGTGAAAACACAAAGCCAAATGAGATGTCTTTGTAAGAGCATTATAAGTTGTATGCTTAGCAAGTGTTTCTCCAGTAGTTTAAAGCAGTTAGTCTTGTTACTTCATTATACGAGAACATTCATTTATAATTCTTTATGAACAAATAACCCAAGTTCTGAACTTTAGAGTCTGTTACTGAAAGTCTTGATTTGTCAAAATTTACTGTTAGTAACTGAGTTTACTTTTGTAGTTGTTTGTTCTTTCATAGCCAAAAGTATTTTCTTCAATACAGAAACTTCATCTGATTTATTTTTGTATTCAGCCTTACATTTAACCAAAGAAAGATTTCTGTTCTTTTTTATTACTAGTGTAATATTTCTGTCAACTGACTTGCTGAATTATTTTCAAATTGACATTAAAAGTTATGTAAAAGTGCCTTGAAGGAAGAAATTTGTTCACTGTAGTTAATTTTTTCTCTTGTGCAATGTGTTGTTAAAAGTTTACTCTGAAACTTGACAGCAAAATCTATTTTTCTAGTGAAAGATTACTAAGCCTAATTTTTTTTCACACTTGCCGTATTTTACATTCTGATTTTATATTCTCTTCTCACTGAGCTGTTTTACTGTATTGTTTAAGCAAATGGAAATAGCCTCTGTATGTTTGATGTATATCAGATAATGAGGACAGTAGTTATAAGTAGTTTGAATTGATAATACTGTACTTAGAAATAATTTCAATAAATTTAACCATAAAGTAAGAGTAAACTTAAGCCTGGTGTCTTAAAGAAACAAAATCCCTCTTTTTTTTTTTTGTCCATACCCTCATATTTTATTTTAGACCCACACTGCTCATTTGCTTGATTACCCAGCTGTTTTTACTTAGATCTATAACTTTCTAGATGAAAATTCCTTGTATTTATAATTTGAAGAAAGACCTAGGGCTATTTCATGAGGTTGCTGTCTTCTGTGACGATAAAGGCATAATGATATTTTGTTAGTACATATTATGTTGTTTCTGCTGTGTTAAGTAACACATCCTTGCTGATTGCTCTCTTTGCCAGAAGAGTTCAGATGAGGTTAATTAAACTGCACAGCAGCAAGTGTATATTTGGTCCCTCTTTTGGCAGTTGTTTGAATGTGAGCATCTGGTTCCCCCAGCACAGGACTGTTACCAGGCAGGCAGGCAGGCCTTTGGAAGACCACTGCCACTTGGAATTTGTTGTACAAAAGGACCAGTCTGGACAAAAATATGACAGACTAAAGCTAACTGCGACCAATAAATGGTCACATCCTAAGCAGATGTAGCACGTGCAGACAAGATCACTTGGTGGACAAGTTATTGCAATAAGAGAAAGAGTGAAGCTCCATGTAATACCAAATCCTTCTCTCTTTTTTTTTTTTTTTTTTAATGTACCATAGCCATTTAAAAGTCAGTATGTAGAAAAGAGAGAGTATTAGCAGAGGGAGATAGAAGTTTGGAGCTCTTCCAAAAGAGAGGAATAAGAGAATTTATATTATTTCCCTCTTTCTATTACCACAAGTATTCTAAAGCCTTTTCACTGAGTTATTAAGTGCCAGGTTATATTTAAGAGAGTAGTATTTTTCCATTATAGCAGTTCATAAACTCTCAGTTGATCTAGAAGTGCAGAACTGACAGAGCTGAGTCAACCATGGCACTCAATTCCTTGTGGTCTCACCACCAGTTCTATTCATCAATGCCTATACTGATGATAAGTAACATTTCAATCAAGGATATCTTACAGTGGCTTTCTAAAAATTTCTAGCAAATTCAGTTGGTAGAAAGAAAAATATAAAGTTTACATTAACTAGGTAATCCTGCAATGCTTCAGACAACTCAGAAGCCTAACCCATCCATCCATGTTCAGACTGTGAAAGAAATTGTGTGCTCGAGTTTGGCACCTGTGTCACAATCTGTGGAACCCCACGCTGCATGAGAAGTTCAGTCTGTATCACACTGAGCACTTCTGTGCCTGCCACGGACAAAGTAACAATGATACCATTACCATGCATCTCTAGAGATCTTTATTCTCTCCGTTCCCTCGTGTAATGAATATTCATTAACTTTAAAGTGAATATTCATTAGGCTTAAAAGATAGTCGGGGAAAAAGGTGTTTTTTCGCTTTTTCAGGAATTTATTTATTTAGTTCAGCCCAATTCTAAAACATCAGTGGCCAAAAACCAGCAGTAGAGCATTATGATTCCCTGCATTAGGAGGTTCAATAATATCGGTAGAAAGCAATTAGCTATCAATGTTTTAAAAGCAAACAGAGACTGCAGGAGAGACAATAATGATCTCTCACCAACCCTGCACTACCAAGCTACAGGAATGTTTGTGGGTTGTGCAAGTCTTTCCTTTGACCAGAAGGTGTCACCTTCTCACCGTGGTTTGCAGGTCAGGGATGAGCCGGTGTCTGTCCGCGGAGCCCTGCGGACTGGAGCTCAGCGACTGGAGAGCAGTAGCCCTGTTGGATGCCCTGAGCACCGGGATGCCCTGAGCACCAGAGTTACAGCCATCAACCTGAGGCACACAGCTGGGCCTCCCGGCAGTGAGGGCAAAACGGCACTCACACTGCAAATGTGCTCATCATTCTCATTCCTGATACTTTTAAGGGATGTTACTGTTTCCTGTCTGAGAATCCTAAATGTCTACACCCATTTTAGTAGTCAGTTTTCTTTCTGCAAGCATTTGGCATCATGTACATCACAGGACTGCTTTCAGTACAAAGAATTAAGTTACTCGTGTTTCTGAATTATTTTGTTTTGTTTTGTTTTAAACTACAAGAGATAGTGTTGCTTCTGACAGCTAACAGATGATAGGGAAGCCTGAGTCCAAAGGTAGGAATGTCACTGAGAAGGGAGCAGGATATTAGAGAAGGACAGCAGCAGCAGTTGATTCTGAGACCTGATGTTTTCATTCCTAACATTGGGCACTTCACTCAGCCTCCCAGATTAGACATGTATTTACTCTACTCCATCTGCATTCCATGGAGAGACAGAGAGAGATGCTTCCAGTTGCAACTTGGACTTAGGATAGCCTTAAACTTGCCTGTTGCAGACAGGCTCAGAGATGCGATTAACAAACAGATCGATAACAAAGTTGCACAGGATGCCCTGTTTCAGAAACTTGCTCTGGAACAGGCAAATGGATACTGCCAAAAGATACTAGGGGCTATGCGGAACCCCACACTAGCAGAAATGTTGCAAGCTTGCAACAATGTGGGGACGCAGGCTCACACATTTGCTTCCCTAGCTGAAGCGACAGTCCCTTGCCCCACAAGAGTGCTGTTTTTGTTGTGGGCAAACCGGTCACATAAGAGAATTGTCCGGCAAAAAGGTGGTCAAACCAACCATCTGTCTGTCACTGCTGCAGAAGGGGCTCACATTTTGCAAGAGATTGTCACTCTAGGTTTGCCAAGGAAGGCCACCTGCTGCCGCCGAGAGGAAATGGGAAAGGAGTGTCGGGAAACTTCCAGCGCAGCGCTCAAGGGAACAACGCGATGACAGAAAAAGTTCCTGCAGCCAACCTCAGCACCTGGTACCCATCTCCTCTCTCAACCCCCATACCTCAGACAGCACCAGAGTCAATTTAGCAGCTGCAACGACCGTAATTCTGCTTGACTCAAAGGTACAGATCGACTTATTGAAGGGAGATCCAGACCTGACATCACCTCCACAGCTGACTCCAGAAGCCAGTGCAGCTCTGCGCATCGTGGAACAGAAAGTAAATTCACAACAGGGACATCGATGCCTTCAAAACGAACTCGTGACACTTGTCCTCATAAAAAGACCCCGACAGCCCTATGGGCTAATAGGTCAGCTATACCAGAACAACACTGCATTTTGTTTATGGGAATGGGTTTTTCTATCTCACCAGTTTTCAAAGACAGTTACCACACTGCCAGAAATGATTTCTAAGCTATGTTATAAGGGTTGTGTTAGATGCTGGGAACTCACGGGCACCGATCCCGAAACAGTGTACTTGCCTTTAACCACAGAGCATTTAGAACAATTGCAGACACCCTGTTTTGATTTTCAAATTGCTTTAATTGATTATCACGGTCAATTAAATATCCATTTGCCAGCTTGTGCTTTTTTACAGAGGCTTAACCAAATTCCCTTGAAGATGAGAACTCATTGGTCTGCAATTCCACTTCAAGATGCCCAAACCATTTTTACAGATGGTTCAGGGAAAACAGGTAACGCTGTAACAGTTTGGCAAAAGGATGACCAGTGGCAACAAGACATTCATAAAATTCAGGGTTCACCACAAATTGTCGACTTGTCTGCAGTTGTTCGGGCACTGTCTTTGTTTACAGGAGCTTTAAATATAGTTTCAGACTCCCAATATGTTGTGGGAATTGTGCAGCAAGTGGAATACTCATACTCAAAAGACATTACTAATGAAACTTTGTTTTCTTTGTTTAAACAGCTCATGTATGTTGTTCATAACAGGGAATCCCCGTTCTTCATTATGCATATACTGTCTCACACCTCCTTGCCAGGCCCCATAGCAGAGGGGAAACGACATGCTGACCTGTTAGCTGGACCAGTAATAGTCCCTCAGCATTTAGGAAAAGCTAAATGTCCTGGGTTAAAAAAGGTTTTTTTCCCTGGGGTTAGAAAGTGCTTAACTCCAGGGGGGTGGTGTTTCTTGGTGTTGATCCAATCAGCACCCCTGCAAAATTAAAACATATCACACCAGACCAGAAAAGAAGGAGGATGACGTAGTTGGAGGAGAAGTAGCCATGGTCTGAACCACAAGGAGAGAGGGGCCAGCGAGCCCCGCTGGGGGCCAAGGCCTCCAGCCCCTGGCCGAGACTATGGGAGACCTGGTGTAGTGTTAAAACTGGACCGGGTGCCATCATCAAAGGCTGGGGGAGTTTCTCCACTATGAGCAGCAGCAGAAGACACTGAAAGCAGCAACAGAGCAGCACTGAACAGAGAACTGTGGCTGAGAGCCAAAAGAGATAGCAAGCAGCGAGATAGCACATAGCCAGGCTGGGAGATGCAGAGATGACCTGCAGGAGGGAGAGCTGGCAACAGAGCAGAGAAAACTCAGCAGAGACTGTTTTTGGGGTAAGACTGAATTACTTTCCCAAAAACCCTTGGAGACCCCTCTTAAATGGAGGGAGTGGACTTCCATTTGAAGGGAGTCCTGAAATGCAGCAGCACCGGAGAGAGGAGCTGAGAGCTCAGAGATGTCCTGAGAGCTGGACCAGAATGGAATGCAGGGGAAGTGGCCTTGCTCCTCACCCCCGCTGCTGCTGCCACGCTGGCAAGCTGAGACAGAGCAAAGGAGCTCTGGTAGAACACTTAGGGCAAAGACTGCACTGGGAGCTGCCCTAAATGTTCTGACTCGAGGGAACTCGACCCCTGGAGGAAGGGCCTTTCACGGGATGTCTTGCATTCTGTGATATGACCGTGGTGAAGCGAGTTTTGTCCCTGCTGGCAGTCCACAGGCGAGACCTTCAGTTGGAGCCGAAGGGCTGAGAGGGGTGAGAGGAGATCCCCTTGTGTGTAATGGAGAGAGAGAGATTCCAGCTACGACAACTCCAGCTATGACTGCTGCTTTGAAGAGGAGAGACACTGCTGCCCTGAAAGTGGAAAGGATCTTTCCTTCTTCCCTTCTGAACTTTTATTGGAGGGAAAGGAGGGACTTGATCTAATATAAATATTGCTTTACCATAGGAGAGATAGTTAGGATTGTGTATATAATGTATTATAGTATTTATTTGTGTAACAATTGTAATATAATTCCCTTCCCCCCATACTGAATCTTGTGTTATGTCTGGAAAAACCTCTCACACTGCAACAAATTGTGGGAGGGGGGCTCAGACTTGGAAATTGGATTTTTGGGTGTCTCAGACCACGACACTAAACTATCACATGACTTTTTTCACCAAAATGCCAAGGCTCTGAAAAAACAATTTGATCTCACAATGGAACAAGCCTGAGCAATTATAGCTTCTTGCCCAGATTGCCAGATGATCATACCCTTGACTTCAGGAGTAAATCCCAGAGGTTTAGAGTCTCTCCAGCTCTGGCAAATGGATGTTACACAGGTACCATCATTCGGTAAATTAAAATGCGTTCCTGTTTCTTTGACATGTTTTCAGGATTTATGACAGCCACAGTGCACTCTGGTGAGAAAAGTCAAAATGTCCGGAAACATTTTTTAACAGCATTTGCAGCAAGTGGGTGTGCCAAAACAAGTGAAAACGGACAACGCACCTTCCTATGTGTCAAAACACACCAAAGATTTCTTTGCATTATGGGGAATTGAATATATAACAGGAATCCCTCACTCCCCAACAGGCCAAGCAATAATAGAACAAGCTCACCACACTCTCAAAGACATGTTAAAGAAACAAAAAAAGGGGGAGTACAGGGTTAGCTCCCCAAGATTGCTTAAACAAAGCTTTGTATGTACTTAATTTTTTAAACAGAATGATGGAAAATTCTACCCCAGTACAGCAACATTTTATTCCTGCACACATGCCTGAAAATTCAAAACCCAAAGTAATGTTTAAAGATCCATTTTCAGGCCAGTGGCAAGGTCCTTGTCCTTTGATAACATGGGGAAAAGGGTATGATCAGGTCTGTGCCATATCAAAATTATCTTACAAATTTATCTGTAGAGCCTCAAGAATTAGATGTCATGGGCAGATTAACTGCCCCCTCTGTACTTCTGTTTTCACCCTGAAAATCCACACACACATGATCCGGTGATTTTAGATGTGTCTCCCACAAGTGCATACCACAATGAAAGTTTTTGGTGTAAGCATCACCTTAATGCAGTAAATATCAAATCAAAACCTTTTCCAATCGGACTTCCTGATGATTTATTTCTAATTTGTGGAGAAAGATTGTGGAAAGGCATTCCCAGCAAAGCTGAAGGAGGACCATGTACTTCGGGTAAACTTGCTTTGTTTAATCCAGTAAAAACCCCCTTGCCTTCTAAGAGCCCTTCACTCAGTAAATGCCTTAAACACTCCTTTAACAAGCAAGATTTTAATACACATGGGTTTAAGGCAGACTGTGATTCTGAAATCGAATTTTGGAACCATGCACAGAGGTTTTATGGAAGTTTTTTAATTCCAGGCATAAGAGCTGGTCACGCGTTAAGCGTGCTTGACAAGATGGGACGCTGGCTAGCAAAAGAAGCAAATGCCACCAGTTCCGCCCTGGAAGACTTGCTTACAGACGTTAGTTCTGTGAGACAAGCGACCTTACAAAATAGAGCAGCCATAGATTTTCTGTTACTAGCTCATGGTCATGGCTGCAAAGATTCCGAAGGGTTGTGTTGCATGAATTTGAGTGACCATTCAGGGTCTATTCACAAGAGTTGAAAGCTTTAGCAAATCAGCTAAAGGAAAATAATGAAAGTGAAACAAGTAGTTTGTTTGATTGGTTAGATGCCTTTAACATTGGTGCAGGACTTAAGAAAATACTTATTGTAGCATTTTTTGGAATTTTTGGGGTTTTTTGTATTTTGTTATGTGCTCCTTGTTTACTCTTTTGTATTCAGTGAATGATGAATCAAAAGTTTTTCCTGAGCTTTTCTTTTTCAGTTAGAAAATAAAAAAGCCGGAGATGAACGGGCCAAAAACCTACTCTCAGCAAAAGGAAGCTTGGTAAATTTGAATCATAAGCCTTGGAAAACAAGAGCTGACTAACATCTAGTGATCTGAAGAAATCTGGACCCTTGTCCTAAGACCTGTTGATGTACGACTCTGAGATTTAATCCTGGCTCCAATCAGAATTAAGAAAGGACTTCTCGAGATGATTGTTAAAACCATGTCTAAACCCCTGTAATCCCTCCATCCCCCATGTAATCCTATTTGAAGAAAAATTAACTATTTGGAAATTGCAGTAAAAACTTGTGTAGCTCCCTAATTAACATAGGTTGCCCCCTTCATTAACATGTCCAGCTGCCGAGGCCCTTAAAATTGTATTCTTGTGTTCAATAAACTATTCCAGTTTTACCCCCTGCTGGAATCATGTTTAGCTTTGTGTTTCAGACCGCCACAGCTAACAAAGCATTAGGCAAGCATAATCATTCTATAAAAGCAGAAATATGTAGCCTATATATGAAGAAAAATCAGTACTTGGTATGTATCACTTGTTATGATACATAACCACAAAATGGCTCCCTATATTTTAATTTAGGAACAACAGTAAAGTTCACTGAGTATGTTTGATCCTCTCCAGTGTGATAAAGAGTGGCAAATTCTTTTTCTAGTTCATGCTTATATTAAAAGAATATCAGAGAGCTCTAGTAATTCACTATCTAAGAGAGCTAAGAATTTATGGAAACCTTTAAAAGTGTGGAAAAAATAAAAGGAAAACATTGCTCTTATTCAGTATTGTGCTGGTTTAAAAGTTAACCAGCAGGGGAAATGAACTCAACTCAAAAGAGAGATTGTAAGTCAGAATAACAATTTAATAAAATAATACAATAAGCACAACTACACAGACGAGCAATTGGTATCAACCCACAAAACCCAAATGTACAACCTGGCACCCCAGGGCACAAACAAAACAGTGCTCCCTGGGCCCCCCCTGAGTCCAAAGCAAAGGGAGAGGGGAAAAACCTGCTGGTGGGAGAGCTGCTGCAGTCCAGCTAAAAGTGGTGATTGTAGTCCAGCCGAGGGTGGTGGTGAGCTGCAGTCCTCCTCTGGGTCCCAGGAGTGGAGAGAGTGGCAATGTTCTGAAACTCCAGGTTTATATATTCTCCAGCTCAGGCAGCAATGCTTAGCCCCTCCCCCAGAGTGGGGAATTCCATAAAAGGATGTTCAGTCCTTCCCTCAGAGTGGGGAATTCCATAAAAGGGTGTGAGGGTGCTCAGTCAGGGAATTTCCACAAAAGGGCATGAGGACAGGAGCATGGGGGGGGGCGGGGGGGGGGGGCACCTCGCAGGCCTCTACTGACAACAGTTTCTGGGAAATGGCAGGGAGGGCTATAGAATACACAGTTTTGGGCTACACCCATCCAATGATGAATCGGTCCCAGCTGTTCTAACTAGGACAAGTATCTTAAAAAACAAATTCTCATTATTATTCTGGAGAGAATCACATAATACCTCAAACTTAGTTTAGGGCATCTATCTTTTAAGGCACAATAGGCCAAATTAAAAAAAAAAAATCAACATAATCAAAAGGTATTTTCACCCCACATAATCACACCAGGGAGGCTGTAAAATGAGAAAGCCAAACACCCAAACACTCTTGAGAAGCTCTCAGGAGCTTCTTCCTTTCCGAGAAAGGTAGCAGCTCCAAGGGGCTGCCAAAACGTGGCTACTTTGCAGCTGTCTGTGAGTTCATTGGAAAATGGGGTATGTAACTGTGTGTGCAGCGCCTGGCTTAATTTGCTGACAACTAGTGTAGCATCATTATACCAATATATATCATGTGAACTATATGAATTTTCTGGTTTGTTGTCTAAAAATGTGGTATTTGAAATAATCATTATGTTGATCTATATCATGTGAACAATATACATTTTCTACTGTCTTGACTAAGCATGTGTTATTATTTGGAATAAATCTTAATTGTTTTAGCTTTATTTGAGCTTTTATTTAC